TCGTGCAGCCGGCAGCGCCCGGGGACAGCCACGGCGGCAGCAGCAGCAGAACCAGCGGAGGGGACGGCAGCCGCAGCAGCGGATCGGGTCCGGGGACCGCCACGTCAGCCTCGGCGTCGGATGGCCGGTTCACGGTTCGCTCCGGAACCGTTGACACGAGCTCCGCCAGCGCCGCCCCGTCATCCGATTGGGAGCTGGCGGGGCTGTCCGCCAGGTCCTCGGCTGCCGGCCCCGCCGCCGCCATCACCGCCTCATGTCCGCCGCCGCCTCCGAACGGAGTGGTGGCCCGGGTGCCGCCGCCGGAAGCAGCGCTGGGCCGCAGGGCCGCAGGCGCAGTGGCTGGACCGCAGCAGCAGCAGCAGCAGGGCGGGGGGATGGCGGCGGTAGCGGGGCCTCCACTGCGAACGACACCAGCAGCAGCGGGGCCGGCGGAAGCGACGGGGGCCCTTGATGTACCGGCAAAGAGACATGCGGCAGGTCCTGCCGCTGCCGGCGGGGCTGGTCCCCCGGGTGGTGGTGGCGGGGGCGGCAGTCTTCCTTGCATCGGCGGGCAACGTGGCGGTACGGATCTGGACATCAGCCCCAAGGAGCTCCGAATACATACAGACGGACTGCTGGTGGGGCTGGTCTCCCGCGTTGGGGAGGGGGGAGAAATGTAGGGAGAGAGGGGGCCTAGCAAAAGTCAAAAGGAAGAAACCAGCTGCCAACTGATCTCCCAAGCCGCCAATCTGCTACTGATTCGAGTACAAAGGGCAATAACGCAGTTACACTTACACTTACAATTACGCGTCGTGTAGTACCAGGGGGCGTGAGGGGGCCGTGTGCGGTGTCATGGGGAGGTGTTGGACATGCTGCTTTTTGGCACGTCGAGGAAAAAGAGGCTGTATTGGGAAGTCGGGTCCGTTTCTGGTCCAGGCCTCACCCTGGGTAGCGGGCAGCAGCCACTGCTGGTGCAGGCGAGGGTCCAGGGGAGGTGTCGCCTTGCCGCCGCACCTGTCTGCCCTCCTGGTCCCTCCGCCATTCCCCGGGTCTTGTCCTTGGGTCCTGTTTGGTTGGTAGCCCACTGCCTGACTCTGGCTCAATAACGACATGCACCGCACTGCACCGCACTCTGTTACGTTACTTGGCACCCCCACCGCACACTTGGGGCTGCAGGGGGCCGGCGCCTTCGGTTCCGTGTACCGAGGCTCCTACCGGGGGCAGCCCGTCGCCATCAAGGTACTCCACCACCTGCACTTTGCAGCCGCCGCCGGCAGAGGGGGGCCCGGTGCGGGCGGAGGCGCCGCCGCCGGCGGGGTGCTTGAGCAGAAGGACGTGGCCTCCTTCCGCCAGGAGATTGCCATCCTGCGCATGCTGGCGCACCCCAACATCGTCCGGGTGCTGGGCGGCTGCGCGCACGCGGGACATCCTTTTCTGGTGATGGAGCTGATGCCCCGCTGCCTGCACAACGTCATTCACGGGGCGGCCGGGCTGGCACTGCCTGATGCGCTGCGTATTGCCACGGACGTGGCTCGGGGCCTGGCGCACCTGCACCCCGCCATTGTGCATCGGGACCTCAAGCCGGCCAACATCCTGCTGGACGCCGAGGGTGCGATGGGGGGAAGAGGGAAAGGGGAGGGAGGTGGGGGGAAAAGACGAACCACGAGCGAGTGAAGCTGATGCCAAGAAAGACTGCTGCGGCAGATGTGAAGAAGGCATAAGTAACCAGTCGGCGGTTGTGATGAAGCAGTCCTCGCGGTGATGTTAGTAGTCATGACGACAGCGGAAAAACTACCTACCTACCTACCTACCTAGCCGCCAAGACTGAAATAAGAGCGGAAGAAGAGCAGTACATCCAAGCCGTAAAATAGGTGGGGGGAAGGGGAGGAAGGTGGGGGGAAGGGGAGGGAGATGGGGGGAAGGGGAGGGAGGTTGCGGGGGAGCACCCCCTCCCCCACGTGCTGCATTGAGCACATCACAGCGATGACCCCACCCCACCCCACCCCTCCCGACATGCTACCGCTAGTCAGCTCAGGGGGTCCCTGCACCTTGATGCTCTGGATAAAGGGGGGAGTGGTCGATTCCGCCCTTTCGCCCCGTGGGCCCACCCCCCTGTTCCGCACCTCCCCTGTTCCCTCCCTTTGGCCGTCAGGCACCGCCAAGATATCGGACTTCGGTCTGGCTCGCTACCACCTGAAGCCGTACATTAGTACGCAGCAGCCCGACGCGGGCTCTGTAGCCTACATGGCACCGGAGGGTGAGCACTCGGCATCCCCCCTCACCCCCCCGCACCTTGCATCATGACGTGAGGGATGTGTGGGGGGATGTACTTACTGCCATGATGGGGGGGAACACCGCCTACCTTTCTGCTGCTGCTCCACGAGAGCGCTGGAAAGGGGGGGTCGACTGCCGTGCGAGGGGTATAAACGCAGCTGTCGCGGCTCTTACCCTTTTTGCGCCTCCTTGAGTGAGGACCAAGCTTCTAGATCTCCAGCTGTTCAAGTGGTGTACTTCGCTCCTGGAGGGGATGTGTTACCCGGGCAGTGTGTGCTGCCATCAGGGCCCAGTGCCAGTGAGTGAGCGACTCAACCCAACCACCACAACCGACACAACCACCGTTTCACTTCACATTGATACACCTCCACGACCCCCTCCGGCGTCTCTCCATCTCCCGCCACCCAAAAGGGCCGCCCTCGACCTGCGCTGCAACTGTCCTCACGTGCGGTACACATTCACAGGTTTCGATCCCGCCATCGGGCGCCTCTCCGCCAAGTGTGACGTGTACAGGTGGGGGCGGGGGGGGAGGAGTAGGCGGGTGTGATGCAGCTGGCCGCGAAAGTGCGTATATCCGTGTGTATATCCACATTTGACATACAGCCCGCGGCCCCAGATTGGGTTTACCCTGTAGGGCGGTGCATGTGACAAGGAGGACGAGGAGGCGAAGGAGAAGGATAACACAAAAGACAATATAATATCATCGGCGCTGTGTTCTAATCGGCCAATACAGATTGCCGCGGGATTCGAGTGCCCCACCTGCCTGCCTGTCTGCCTGCCAAGCTGTTTGCTGTATTGGCTTCCCCCCGGGCCCCCCTCACACGCCCTGAGGGCGAAAGGGGACACGGGGAGGGAACCGCTCCCCGGGCCTCGAACCCCCATCCCACTGGTGGCTCCGACCCACCCCTCCCTCGTCAGGCGGTAGTGCAACCTACCTGGCTTAGCAGCCATGCACAGCTGGTTTGCAGACTGGCGCTGCAGACCGTCTACCCCCTCACATTCCTAACCCCGCGCCCCACCCCGGTTCGTGTTGTGCTGCCCCCGCCCCCTCTTGCTCTCTCCCCCATCCCAGTTTCGGTGTACTGCTCTGGGAGCTCATTACGCAGGAGCACCCGTGGGCTGGGGAGAGCAATGTGTCCATCATTTACCGGGTTGCCGTGCATCGCATGCGGCTACCAGTGCCCACAGACCCGCGGGTCTGTCCGCCGCGCTTGGCAGCACTGCTGCACGCGTGTATGTCGTACGTGCCGTCGGACCGCCCTGACATGCGCCACGTCTTGGGGGAGCTGGAGGGCATGTCCGGGGCGGTGCGGGATGGGGGCGTGGAGGCGCTCCTACTGCAGACGGCCGCCTCCCCACCCCTACCCGCACCCTCACCCTCACCCTCACACCAGCAGCAGCAGCAGCAACCGGAAGGAGGTCTTGCGGCCCCGTTGGAGTGTGCAGCGGAGGCGGCGGTGTTGCCGCTAACTCCCCTACCCGCGCCTTCGCCCCCAAACAAGGATGATGACGCAGCAGCCGCGGCAGCATTCGCGAGGGGCCCACTGGGGGCCCGGCAAACTGGATGATGGAGCAGAACCAACCCACCAGGGGGGGGAGAGCGGTGAGCGGGGTGAGCGGGGTGAGGGGAAATTTCTAATTGAAGGGTGGAGTGGTTCTCCAATTGCCAACGCATGAGCTGTTGTATATTCTAGTTCAATTTTTCCCCCTTGATTAGGGCCATGATGATGATGATGATGATGATGATGATTGATTCGTTTCCCTGGCGGTGGACTCATGCTGATAGTAATGATTCTGATGATTAAAAGTAGGCGGGTCCGATTGATTCAAACAATAGTGCTGGGAGTGGGTTGCCAGCATGTAGAGCCATTGGCGGGGTGTAGCACGGTATGCACACAGCTAGGCGGGTTTCGGGTGTATGGGGGGGAAGGAGGTGGGGGGAACTGTATGCGTGTGTTCCGGGATGTAACGAGTACAGGGGGGGCCGGAAGGGCGTGTTTGCGTATTGGCAGATTGCCCATCTGGTTTAGCTGGTGGTAGTATAGAAGTTGTTGGCATTGTCGTTGTTGTTGTTGTTGTTGTTGACGCCCAAACGTACCTATTAGATGACGACCAGGGACCCTGCGACACCAGGTGCACATAGCACGTGTCTGATGGACCAAGAACGATATTGTTGTACCGTTACCAGATTATACAGTCTCGTTCAACCTCATCTATCTGCTGAGTGACCGACCAGGACGAGACAGAGAGGAGGTTAGATCGTTTTGCAGCAGAACATCTCCCCCCTTTGCCGGTACACGTCGCATCACCGCCTATTTGTGGTGAAGCGGACTGTTGGTAACCTGTGTGTGTGCTGTAGAACTGGCGGCGCTGAAGGCGGTTTAGGACACTGACATGACAGAGACGGAGGGGAAAGGGGAAGCTTCGATGTGACGAGCCCCGTTGCGTGTTGTGGTTACGGCTTCTTAGGTGAACTGCTCTTGAGACCGACTGACGAAGGCGACTGGAGCAGTAGTAGTAGTTTTTTGACTGATGAACGGAGAAGGTGTGAGATACGACCTTGCGAATTGGTGTGGTGTAGTGCCCCGGCTCAGGCCAGGAGGTGAACGTTAGTTCTCCCCCTCGTTGGCAATAGATCAGATTGATTCAGTCAGTGCCCTCGGCGGATATGTGTGTTCCACATTAGTAGTTGACGTCTTGTTACCTTCCCCAACTACCAATACTTAGGGTTTGTCGTGTGATGACTGCCACCTTGGGTGCGTGTCGCCCTTCTCCCTTCGTGTCAGATGGATTAGACTGATGAACGGGGATCCTCAGAGTCGACT